AGAAAGAAGACAACAATAGATTATGACTAATTAAACACATTTTACCATCTATTAATGTCGAATGGTAGCAATATTGAAGGGGGTTGCAGCATGAAATTTTTATTCGGGTTAAAGAAAAAAATTAAAATAAAATAATTTCCATTAACATGCATGACACACAATTCTAATGTATTATTTAACCCCTATATTTTTATATTTTCATAGGTTGATTTTTATTGAGACGTAGGATCTCGTATCGTTCGTGAGTGCATACAACCTGATAAAAAGAGTTATATCATAGAGAGTGATGGAGAGAAATAGAAGAGTCTTTTGAGGGAATCTTAGAAAATATATTAAATTCCAATCTATGGTAAGTGGAGGGAGGCAACTCCGTGGAGATTCAATGAGTTACAGGATTTCGGAATGATAAAAAGAAAAATGGAGATAGATAGCGATCTCCAGAGAGAAGAAAGAAAAGAAGACGCCCCTTGCCTTTCTACAGTATCTTAATGCAAATAATGTGATGTGGATGTCAAATATTGCTAGTATCGTGGTTATCCCTAGTACCAGAGTGAAAAGATAGATTCTTGAGTGTCGGGCAATGTCTTTCATAAGTGGATGGGTGGATGTCTTTATTGGTCACGATGACTTCTTATTAGTCATGATGGTTTATTCTGATAGTTGTCGTTGTGCAGGTAGTTATGTTTTTCTTTCGAGGAACATGAGAACGATCAGATGGACATGTGAGCAAGAGTCAACCTCTTCGATTGGTTGGCTCGATTCGGTAAAAAAAATTAGCAAAAATTTATGTATACTCGTTTGTGTTTATACAACATACATAACACCTAAATCTTTAATATTACATTATAAAAATCATTATTAATAACTTATTAAAAATAAGAACATTATTTCAGGTTTAACTTATAACACCAAAGTATTATACATATAAATTTCAAATTTTAGATGTTATATATATATATATATGTTTCCCATAATATTTAAAGAACTAAGAGGATCAAGAAGCAAAATACATAAAAAAAAAATGTATTTTTTTAAGCAATGGGAAAGCCCGAATACTAAACAAGCCTCACGGTCTTAATGGATCCGGTCCTTCATTCATGAATTTAATGGTCTAGTTTTGACTAGGCCAATCATACTCGGTTGCACTATCTTTGGAAGTGACAAACTACAAAGCTCATTACCACCCAAAAGGACCCCGCGAATACCTCAAAAGCACGCCAACATTCGAGCTCACTCATATTTTCGGAGTTCATATTCCAAGCTCGTATGGACTAATTGAACCTTCCCACAAAGCTCATCCATAACTATCAAGCTTCACCACTGAGCTCAATGGGCATTTCTTAGAGGCATAAGAGAACTCCAATCTGTCGTCAATTCACACCAGCGTTCTTGTCAATAACAAGTCCGCTCAAGCTCGGTATTGCACGTCCTACAATGTAATTTTATATTTCATCTTTATCTCCTTGCACGGGTATATATGCTACATAGCATATAAATAAAAAAAAAAGATGAGAAGAGGGATGATCAGATCCCGAACCGTCAAAAAACTCTGACTATCTCTTTAAGAGTCTTTCATCTTCATCTCACTTCATTCACATGATCTCTCTCTAATTGAATGAGTTCACGAATTATACAGTATCTCGTGTACCATAAGGATTCGATCTAAAGCCTAAACATTACATCTTACATTTATACCACTCAAATCTATCACACCATATAAAAATTATCACTATTTTGTTTTAAAAAAAATGAATTACACCCTTTCATGCACATATAAGGTGGTATATATGTAAAAATTAAAGTATAGATTTTCGATTTGTAAATACATAAGAATTAATGGTATGTATGTACTAAAATATCAAAAACTGAATCTTTAATATTTACATGCACATACGTGTAGCAAAATATCACCTCATTGAACTTTAGTTCCAAAGTCAAATAATGTGCTAAAGAGGACTGCCAGATTCCCCAACTCAGCTGACATATCGAGCACAAGTTGTCAGTTGGCTTACTATGATAAGCTAACCAATTCACCAAGTGGGCTTGATCCTCCTTGGCGACTAAGGGAACGACATATTCAATGAGAACAACTCCGGTTCATTCTCTATGACTGATTGTCATGAAGACTAATTAAAGCAATAATAACGTGAACTAACAAGTGCATGCGGAATAGACGTCAAAATACGATGTTGCCAGAGATAATATAAATCAAACAGGAAGTCTATGGCTTTTGGCAGTATTGGGTTATGTTCCTTCCATGCAAGAGTGAAAAGAGGAGCTGGACAACTTTGCTGCCACTCTATGGAGCCTACTTCATGTTGTTGTTGTGAGATCTAGATATACCAGTTGATGTGGTATATATATAAATCAAATAGGAGAACGATCGACGAAATGAAGAATAGAACGAGAAAAATCACACCAGAAAAGAACAACACAGCAGAACACACAGATTTACGTGGTTCGGCAAATTGCCATCGTCCACGGAGTTGCAGAGGATTTTACTACTTGAGGAATTTACGTCAGTCGATCACCTCGACTTACAAGTGATCGACTTACAAGAGGAATCTCTCACTCTTCGTTGTTCTCTCTCTTCTTCTCTCTCTGTTCTTCTCTCTCTATACCGAGATACACCGAAGAAAACTCTACGTCGATATAAACCGAAGAAGACAAATTTACAAGAGAAATAAACTCAATTTCTCTTATGCCACAAGCCACCAAGAAGAAGCCTAGCGAGAATAATCTTCTACTTCTTCTATCTTCTTCCTTCTGCCGTAAGGAACTGCTCCTCCTTGCACTTCTCTTCCTTTGCCCCGAGGAAACCTTTCTCTATCCTGAGAAAACTGAAGAACTCAAAACGTGATTACCAAAACCCAAGGAGAGTCATTCGAAGCTTTTAGCACGGACATGAGGGAGTGGAGAGATGCTTCACTTTACAAAAGAGGAAGGCGGGAGTGGTTATTTGTGAAGACGTGTGACTCTCCAAAGCAAAGTAACCACCCAAGCATAGTAGATCGGGCGCCACGTTTCTAACAATTCTCCCACTTAGAGGCTGGTACACAGGCTACAACATCTCTTTCCTCAAACTGAAATCCTCTACTAGTGGCGTTGCCTTTTTCTTCAACATGTATCATCCACCTTGAATCCTCCACCTCTGACTCAAGGCTGGTACACAGTCTATGGCTTCCGCCATCTCCAAATTGAATAACTTGTTCATCAAGTGCACTTTGTTATTCGTCGATGACTTTTCATACATACCTGATAAGCCTGCCATGAGATCTGCAGTCGTTCTTTCCTTGACGACGATGTGTGCAACGACCTCGATAAGGTCAATCGAATAACCCCCAGAACTTGTTGATCCAACAAATTCCATTCAGCCTCATCCATCTTTCAGATCTTTTCCCCAATAACAGAAGATGAAGTTTCTTTACATAAAGATAATCTTCTATATGTACTCTCCAATAACCAAAATCTGTGCCATCAAATTTCTCGATCCCTAAAAAATTCACTTCATCTGCAGCCATCATTCTTCCTCAGACATGAAACCACGCTCTGATATCAGTTGTTGTTGTTGTGAGATCTAGATATATCAGTTGATGTGGTATATATATAAAACAAATAGGAGAACGATCGAAGAAGTGAAAAATATAACGAGAAAAATCACACCATAAAAGAACAACACACCGGAACACACAGATTTACGTGGTTCGGCAAATTGCCTACGTCCACAGAGTTGCTAAGGATTTTACTACTTGAGGAATTTATACCAGTCGATCACCTCAACTTACAAGAGGAATCTCTCACTCTTCGTTGCTCTCTCTCTTCTTCTCTCTTTGTTCTTCTCTCTCTATATCAACATACACCGAAAAAACTCTACACCGAGATACACCGAAGAAGACAAACTTGCAAGAGAAATAAACCCAATTTCTCTTTTGCCACAACCACCAAGAAGAAGCCAAGGGAGAACAATTTTCTTCTTCTTCATTCTTCTTCCTTCTGTCGCAAGGAATTACTCCTCCTTGCACTTCTCTTCCTCTACCCCGAGGAAACATTTTTCTATCCCGAAGAAATCGAAGAAGAACTCAAAGTGTGACTACCAAAACCAACGGAGAGCCATCCGAAGCTTTTCTCACAAACAAGAGGGGGCGAAGAAATGCTTCACTTTACAAAGGAGGAAGACAGGAGTGGTTATTTGTGAAAATGTGCGACTCTCCAAAGCAAAGTAACTGTCCAAACATAGTGGACCAGGCTCCACCATTTCTAACACTTCAAACAACCTTTTTTTGGGCAATTTCCAAATAATTAAGAGGCTGTTTGGTTAAGTGAATTAGTGGTATACTACAAATTTTTTGCAGGGATTTAAGAAAATTTTATGTTTGGTATGAAAATTTACAATTACAATGTAAAGTTTTTCCGTCGGTTTAATTCGATGTAAAAATAAATGCACAGTAGAAGATAATGTAGTGTATTATTTCTCTGTATGCTATTCGTTTCTCTGTATAGGAAATACAGGAGAATCATTTTTCTTGTTTGTTGATTCCCACCATAACAAATGTACTTTTTATTTTTTTTATTTTTTATTTTTTGCAAACAAGTTAATATAATAATATTCAGATGTGTGATACAGTGTGAATCAATCGAGATTCTTACAGAATGTAAGACCTAATCCTCTGAGTTACGTCGTTACATACAATTTCGTAGCGACCATTCAATTATGACTACTATATTAAAATTATAAGATGTGTTTGAATTTAATTAATTTAAAGTAAAAAATATATATTAAAAAAATCAAATCCATGTTTACAAATTAATAATCTACCCATAAGTTATTAGAAAATTTAATTATTTCATTCTCATTGACCAAAAAAAAAAGGAGAAAATTTAACCATCTGAACCTTTGTTTCACTGAAAATGGCATGAAGTACTTCGTTAAATATCAAAGTCAAAACTGCATAAAGTTAAATAATGAAAACTGTCACTCCGAAGAATATTTGTTTGTAAAATTAACAGACTCCATCAAACTGCTATGAGGGAGTGTTTCTTTTTGTTCAAATTGCTATAGGAGAGTCTTACTTGCTAGTGTGAACAATCTTGTTTCTATTATATTCTCAGCAGATAGACCCATCTCGTGTACACAACTAACAGCTTAGGAGAGGTTGCCATCTTCTTCTTACAAACAAGAAAACTCTTGTTGTCTCCCTGTAAGGTATGGTATTTGAACAAGTAAATACAAGATCAAAATTTAAAATAGAAAAGCTAGAAGTGTTGAACAAATACAATATATGAATATAACAGATTATGAAATTATACATGATAACCTCGTTAGGGTAACCTTTCACTGATGAGGAATATCAATGTGTAGGTCAATGACTCTAGATCATCACTCTTACTTCCTGTGTGATCTAAGTGGGCATGAACGCTTGCATATCTTATTGTCCCCCTGTAGGAAGGAATGTATTGGAACGGAGTATGAAAGTAATGCAAAAGAACTATTATATAAAGTTTAAATTATTAAATGTATCAAATGAATGAAATTATGAAAATATAAATTTTAAAGGAAATCATCAATGCAAATCCAAATGGTGCAGATCAGTCAACCTTAAGAGGTCTGGCATTTTATCATACTCAATATAGCTGGTATCGGCAAGCAGTCTTCCTGTTCGCAATAAGTCGCACAACTTGAAAAAATGTTATTTTACCATTCGCACCATGTTTACACAATTAAAATCAGAACCAAGATATAATCTAGAGACCTATATTTGAAGTTGGATATCTCATTCAGGATTATAATTTCTTCTTTGACTTCTCGTCTCATCTAACAATATGAATATACTAGTCAATACAGTAGTAACAACTGCATGAATAATTGAATGATATTACTTATTATAGTGCTTCAAATTATCAAAATCGGACAACTCTTCTTCATTGTCTTCTTTTCGTTCATCCATTTCTATAGAACATGCATATACATGATCAAATTAGTTCATATATTAAAATATTTGAAGCTAAGATAAAATATAAAGTTATTATAATTTGCCCCACCAAACACTAATCAAGTATTTTTATAACAACCCACCACTGTTTCACCCTCAATTAACACATCTAGACCACAACTCCAAACTTTTATCTATCTCTGTCATTCACTCTTCCTCCATTACTAACACCCGAGCACAATTACTTTTCTACACTTTTCTTTGATCGTTTCTCTCCAGCAGATTTTCCATTACATAATAGTATTTGCGTCTCACAAAAACCCCTAATAACATGATCTCTTCCCAAACAACCCAATACATTTTCTAAATCCCTCTCTACACCTGATGCCAAGTTCAAAAAGCACTGATGTGAAAACTTGTCATATCCCATTACATAGCAGCTTTATATGACTTGTCTGGTTTTCATTCCTTTGTCACATACCTATAAACTTCATCCCGCTTTTGCAACCCTATTCTAGATTTCTACCAGTCATATTGCATTAATAATCCCAATCCTGATAAAAAAAAAAAAAAAACTAATACCTGAGACGGAGGCCGAAGCGACGATGGGAGGATCGGGAGGCAGTATCGCGAGATGAGAGGAGAGAGCGACTGCGAACGAAATAACATGGAAGGGTTTCGCGTGAAATGAAGTCGAAGGGGAAGAGTTGCGTGATAATTTTGTTTTGCGCTGAGTTCTTAATTATCTTGAAACTTTTAAATTCCATGGTGTTTTAATTTTACTTCGAGTTTAATGATAACTAAACAAAAAAAGAAGTTAGAATTCATGTATTTATTCTATTTTGCACCAACCTTACATCAAATCAAAATGGCCCTTTAATGAATTTAAAGTTTACATCGTTGTTAATCTTGACTGAATTTAAAATGTGGTCGATTTGATCGAATTTAAATTATATCATTCATGTATAATATTTTAAACAAGTCGCTGCCGCCCACCGTTATTGCACTCCGCCTCCGCAGTTCGCCAATAACCTCTCGCCTGCAAGTGAACCCACCTACCATCACTGCTCACTGCTCGTCGCCGCTGGCCATCCGCTCCTTGGTGCTAGCTCTCGACACCACCTACCTCCATCGCCGCATGTTGTTGTCGCCCGCTGCATGCCATCCTTCGCCGCTCACCACTCTTTATTGGGGCAAGCATGAAAAGAGACACTTGAATCCACTATCCAGGATGCAGTCTTGATTAGAGATAACATCGGGGAGTGATTTTGGATTTCACCTATGGAGACATTAGTAGAAAGACTACATTCATGTCCTTCACTACTAGCTTCCCTTGGAGCTTTGCATTTCTTCTTGAAATGCCCTTTCTTACCGCAGTTCCAACATTCTTATCCGCTTGACTTAGGCTTCCTTTCCTAGGACTTGGATCTGCCTTTTACTGTTTTACTACCCATATTCCTTCCTTTGTTATCAGCATTCTACGTAGAACTTGAAGATTCACCATTTGCTGCTTTTCTGTGACCTTTTTTTTTCAGCATCAGACTTAGGATATCATTGAAGTTCAACTGTGAATTCCCTGAAGAATAACTCACTGTTATTACCAAAATATCTCAGCTTTCTCACAATTAAGATATTATCACAAGTGTTTTGAACTCATCTCAAACTTTATCCCCACAGAACACAACTGTATCATCACAGTGTTGAATTTATTTAGATATTCTACCACTGAATTGTCTTACACCATCTTCATGCTGAATAATTTCTTCATTAGAAAAACCTTATTGGAAGCAGAATATATTTCATACATCATAATCAGTGTTGCCATGAGATCTACCGTAGTTTTCTCATCCATAATGTTTGATGCAACATATTAGGAAAATGTCAATCAGATCAAACGTAGTGTCATTTAATCCAATACTTCTCATTCCTCTATAGACATTGACTCGGGCTTACTTGTGATTTCTTGTAGAGGCAAATATATTTTTTTCTCATACAACAAATCCTCCACCTGAATCTTCCAGAAAGCGTGGTTCTTCCCATTGAACTTCTACACATTGAACCTTACTTCTTCGGTGATTGCTTCCACTTGAATCGAACCCGACTCTGATACTAGTTGATAGAAAATCTCCAACGAACAATTTTTAATTTTATCGGGGCTTAAGATCAATTAGAAACTAAACCACGTTGCAGAATAACGAGATCACACCAATTCGATAAAAAACCAGAACAAAAAATTAAAACGAAAGCATAATCAAAGCAACAAAAAAAAACACATAAAAATTTACGTGGAAAAACTCAAGAACTGAAAAAAAAAAAACCACATAGTCACACCACTATAATTTTTCACTATGAAATTCAGAAGGTTTTACAAAGAACTCACATAAGTTCTCCACGTAAAAGAAACTTACATGCCACGCTCCACAAATTTTTCTCTCTGATCTAGCCCAAAAATCACGTGGAATCACCGAAATCCATTTTGCCCACAGTTCTCACCTTCACCCGATTCTTCCACACTTCTCACCCTTTTGTAACCCAGTTTGCCCGGATCGAAGACGTTGTTAGGCTTAGTATTTGGTAAGTCAACTTAGTGCTCATCATAGACTCGAAAAACGATGCTAAGTGGGCTCTGTCCTCGGCCCAAATTAAATCTTATCCCCAACCCAGTCCAAATCAAACATTTACCGGAAATTACATTAATTAATTATCATTTTGCACTCACGTTTCAGCAAAATCATGCCTCAACGGGGCAATTTTAATTTTTAATTTTCTTAAAAATATACATCAATTTTTAAAAGGCACTTCTTAAAAATTATGACTATTTTTATTTTCTTTTTTTCAAAATAAGTAATTGAATATTATTAAATTGTAGGTTATTTTACAAAAAGAAAAAGATGAGATTTTTATTTTTAAAATTTATGAGGTTTTTATTTTTTGAGATATAAGTAAATATGATAAAATAAATATTAAATATGTTTAAATGTTCATGTTAATATTTTTTTTAAAAAATATAATTTCTTAAATCAAAATGTTCAAATATTACATATTAATAGTATTTATATGGGGAGATATGTAAATTAGAAGCTATATCTTGACATTATAGATCGTTAAGTAGAATTAGCAGCCTTTGGTGATTTTATTGTGGCAAGCCTGCAATATGTCACATAGGCAGTATTTGGTTTGCGTTTAAACTTTAGTGGGAAAAAATCGTAATTTATAGGGTTTTTTTTTCTTTTATAAAAATACCGTGCCTAATTTTGCCTTGTTACCAATGTGTTGATGATGAGATTGAACCCTTACCTCATATTAATATTTCAAATTATTAACTGTTGAATGCAAATCTGTCCTGTGAGATATACCCAAGGATCGAAGTAGCACGAACTTCGAAGGAGAAAAAGAAAGAGACAAATAAGGGAAAATAAATAAAATGGTATGCATGAGCTTGCCTTATAGGGGAAAACGGGGTATCTCCGAGCTTTTTTACCCATTTTTATATATTGAATATAGAGATTATAAGAGAAAGAGCAGAGGGATATTTGTGCAGAACATGGGCCCATAAGCGGTATTATTCTCCTATTTATAGGAAATAGAGGGACCAAATCTAAAATTACATGTTTGTCGGCGAAGTTACATGTTATTATTACTTTTTTATGGTCTCTACTTAAATAGGGAGTTACATATATTCATGATATCTTTTTATAGACCTTACTTTAAAATGGGAGTTATAGGTCTTCATGATATCGTTTTATATACATAATTTATTTTTGACATGTTTCATCGTCTATCTTTTTATCTAAATCATTATATTATCTCGACCATTTTTTTATGTACATGTTAAGTTCAAATCCTAAGGCAATCTAAAAGGTTCAGATAAGAAGATAAATGATAAAAACGTACCAAAAATAAATTATGAAATCAATATAAATCTAAACATAAATAATAAACTTTAATCCATTTATTTATGTAGCTGAGTAGAACAAGTCCTTTGCCCAGTTAGCTTAAACATGATGGCGCTTATACCTTTCTAGAATCAAAATATATTTCATTAGGCTTTCCGCAAATCAAATGGCTCAATGTGGAGCATGTGTCACTATATAAAATCTATGAGAATAAGTAAAGATATCTAGAGCCTGGACGAACTAGAGGTCGGAGGTTGGTCGAGAGACAGATTGAGGTTCAACCGAGATCGGTCGAACAAGACACTGGAGATCAATCGAGAAGCCAAACAAAGGTAAACTGATCCAGTGGGTGCCAGTCGAACAAGAGATTGACTGACTTGGAGATCACTCAGGTAAAGGTTTGCGACATATAAGTGATCCACCAGATATTCAACAATCGCTTGGCATGAAGCCGCTCGATTGAAGGCCGGCTGATTAAAAGGTTCAAGGGTGTAATTCACATTTCACACTATTCCTAAATCTCTATAAATAAAGTAATATTAAATGTAATAGAGGTTGTTAAAACTATATACTAAAATACTTCATCTCTCATGTCTTGCTGCATGTTTCTCTCTCCTTACAACAATATATTTCTTAGGGGTTATTCACAGACAGTTCTGAACTGAACAACTTCTAATCTTAGTAGTCATAAACTACGAAAAGAATGTATGAATTTACATATGAGTATTATATTTTGAAACATAATATTTTCTAAGAAAAAGTAGCCGAAAATCACTCAAACTTCTTCAAAAATGACATTTTTACACTTATTACATACATGGACCTTTTTCGAAGATTATTTGTTCACAAATAATTACTTCATCGCCCATTTTGACTCTACCATCACATCCATCCATTTGAGAGTCTCCAATTGAAATAATTAACACGAGAAGATATCTCCCATTTATTCTTGATTATGAAGACTTAAAAATGATGATATCATTATCTCAAGCCTCAACATTTTTTTTTTTTGTAAATTTTTTATAAGATATGGAGCTATTGTTAAAATTATAAGTTTTAATGTTATATCAAATTTAATATTATGATGTTCCATCATTTTAAGAAAAAAAATTATTATTATTTAAATTAAGAAATCAGTTGGATTCATTTCTATTTTATTTTTCATTTTATATATTAATATTGAGGAACACAAAATATATTCTTTTAGAAAGACAAATATATTAAACCTAAACTACTTTAACAGCTTTTTAGGCATAAGCTAGAAAAAGTTTAAAGCTTCACTAGGAACAAAAGAAGATGGCTAATTTGCCATTTCCTTTTTGCAGTAAATTAAAAAGTGGGACAAGTTGGAAAAAAAGTGGATGGTTTGTGCCTATCTGTAAAAGTGTCAGCTTGGTACCCAAAAAAAATAAAGCATGGAAGTGCTCACAAATCACACCAAAACCTACTTGAAAGCAAAGAGGTGGTGAGAAGAAAAAAGCGAAATTGATTGATAGAAACAGAAATTGAAAGTTGAAGTGCTGTGTAAGATGACAGAGAAGACTTGTAAGGCTTAGTTGGATTGGGATTGATGACAGTGTTGGCGCGCACCTGCTTCGTCTTCTTATGCTCTCTTTCTCTCCATCTTTGGCGTTCTTCTCAGTGTTCATTCATCAGTTTCAGGTATTTTCTTCACTTCTTTTTAGCTTAGAATTTGGCTTTTGGATTTGATTTATTTATTTCTTTAATCTGTTTTGTGTAGTGTTATATGAATTATGAGCGCTACTTAATTACAAATTAATTTCAGAATAGAATAAAAGAAGAAGCGAAAAATAGAATTTTGCATATATTTTGTTTTCTTTTTTAAGGCTCTTTCGGTTGATTGTAGCTGGTAATTCTGTTCTGAAATTTTGCTGTTTTTGGAATCCAAATCACTTGATTTTTGGGGCTTTTATGAAAATTTAGTGCTGCAGCCAAGCTTGATGGAGATAGAAGAACAGTATTTAGTACTGCAGTAATGGTTTTGGCCATCTAGCGAGCTCTCCCAATGTTTCTCTTGTTTGGTTTGATGAGCAATTTTCTTGTAGCTTTGGTTTTAGATGGAGCCTATGGAAATTTGTTTTCTTTTTCTTTTCTACAAGAGTGGGAGTGATTCAAAGAAGGTAGGAAGGAAGAAATTGATGACTCTGTTTAGGAGTTAATGAAAGAAAGTTTGGTTTGACCAGAAAGATCGGAATTTTGGATTTGAAAAGTCAAGAAGAGACCAAGCAAGTCAAATAAGCTGAAAGGAATTTAGAGAATTGTACAATCCTAACAAGGCCTTATAATCATGAAGATGATTTGAGTTTGAGCACTGTCCTATGTCTCCTAGACTCCTAATTCTCTCTCTCTCTCTCTCTCTCTCTAAAATCTAAAATTTTATCAACTGTGGTCTTCTTGACTTAAAGATGATGCCCAATGCCACCAAAGATATAGGGTTGGGTCATGTCTAGCCCATTGGCTGCATTATATTTAGAAATTCTTCAAGGTGAAGTAAGGGAAAGTTGCTTGAGATGATGGAAGAGAAATTTAACTTATGAAGAGCCTATGTCCCGTTTATAAAAGAGATTAAAATAGTTTATAAATATCAAATAATTAAAATTAAAATTTTAGGAAGTTAAAAATATTTTTTTTATTTTATTTGATTAAATAGCAAATTATTGCCTCAATCAAAGCACAACTAATTTGCTTTACTAATGTCATTTATAGGATTGAAGATTTGTTAAACTGTTCCATCAACCAATTGTTTGTATTATTAAAAAAATCAATTGATGCTTTAGATTTTCGGCTTATTATTGTTTACCTCCATCATTTGTGGATGCTTCTCTTTGTTCTAATGTTGTCTCCTTGATTTTTTTTTTATATATAATTTTATCAATTTGAAGCTTATTAGAACTCATTCTTAGAAATTACACCATCTTCAATTGTTTAAAGATGTGGCCTGCGTTTAAAATATTTTTTATGGTCTCTTTATGTTGTTGAAGCTCGTTCTTCAAACTTTACATATGAGAGGGATAAATTAAATAAAAAAAGGATGCGCAATGTGATTTGACAAACGATTTAAGCATAATGGATAAGGCACTTTCATTTGTGTTTATGTAACATATAGTGTAACAAGAAAAATATCATGCCTCTCCAAAACCAATCTAAGCCCTACGAATACCTCTTTGTTTGTCCTCGAGATTGTCTTCAAGTGTCGTCAAGATCATTCTTGAGAAGTCCTAATGAAAGCTCTTCGTCAAAGAAGTTATGCCACTCGAGATCCACTCACTTTCCTATGAGCACAAAAAAACAAATTGTGAGTACCCATACTCCAAAAAGTTTGAACTTTAGATTTGAGAGAAGGCTTTTTAAAAATGGCAAATGAATCAATTTAAAAATTAGTCAAAGTAAAATGTAAAGGATTTTTTTTTTCCATTAGGCTGCATGAGGTGTAACATTGCATAACTAGCACTATCCAAAAGTCGACATCATCCCCACTTGTAGAAACATTCAAGCCTCTCATGTCCTTGATAATTTTGATGGGTCCCTCCTATTTGTCATTAAGAATGTTATCACAGTTGTCCTCGAGAAAGCTCTTGCTCAAAATAAGCACACCATATTTACTCAAGTTCAACATAGGTCCATGAGTTCTATATCCAATCCTTTTCTTATAAACACAAATAATAAGTGGAATGCGACCCTTATATCTCTACATTAATGGCAAGCCATGACATGCCTTTTATCACAAAGAAATTATTATCACTTGCTCGATCCAAGAGAATTCAAGTGTAATCTATGTGTTACTTAGAGATGTAAATGAATAGAACCAAGCTGTGTGATAACATTTGTGCTAAAATCATTGATCAAAAGCATGCTCTAGCTTGGCTCAAGCTTGATTTGATCTTTGTGATAGTGTTTGAGCTCAGTTTATTTAAATTCATATTTATTTGAGCTTAATTAAAGCTTTGTTCGCTTTATGATTACTGAGTTAAATAAATGCCTCATTTGGAAACATAGATGAGATCTAGAATCATGCCTATTGAGCCCTGATGAGCCCATCCTATTAAGTTTAAAACTATAATTTTAAGTTAACAAGCTTTAAATCTCTTAAAAGCTCATAATTTTCTTAAAGTGATTTTAAATAGCTTTCTGCATATTCATGTGAGTTTAGCTAGCAAAGTAAATTATTATCTGACAATTATAAATAGTACCATTTTAAAATATCCTAATAATATGAAATTAAATGTCCAAATAAAAGAGGAAATTCAGATTATCATAAACTTAACTTAATCATATGATATATCAAACCTTAATCAAAATTTAGGTCAATTATTATATTGAGCTTGATAGCGAGTATTATTTGTGCCTTAACCAAGCATTATATATATCAAGCCTCAGTTGAGCAACTTCACTAATTTGTTAATGTGCTTTAAATGATATATTCATGGACATAAATGAATCAATCAACTAGCAATTCAAACTTATTTATTTAATAATACATAATTATAAAAATAATAAAACTTTTTTGACATAAACCCATAACCCTAGTCAAATAAAAATGAATTATCTCTTATTATATAAAGCCATAAGCAAATTTTGAAGGCACTATTTCTTAAAAACAGTAGTGTCATAGTATATCCAACTTGATAGGGATTTGAGCCACACTCTTATCTCTATATCATCTTTGTCATAAAATTGCAACTTATGGTCTTGCATCTAATTGTGATTTTTCAATCTAAACAGTATTATCGCTAGTAGATATATGAATTATAACATTATATTCTAAAACCCCACATTCTTGTAATCGCCCACCTTTTCTACTATGAACAGTTCCAATTTGAGACAATGTCTATCTTTCTTAAGGAATGTATTGTTAAAAATAGATAAAAGCGAGGAAAAATACTTATAAAGGGTTTAACTCTTTTGCAAACTATAGTTCTCTCACAATATCTACCGAATAATATTTCTTCTCTCTTAACAAAGGATATCTCAATATCTCAAGGCATAGTTCCAGCTTCCTTTAATCTCTCCTCTCATCTTCTAAAAAATCAAAATATGAGCACTATTTTCTCCCCTCATTTACCCTCCTTCTCTATCATATATCCCATTCACTTATTTCTCCCACCTTCAACTTTACTTTATCCCTCCCATTCGCACCCTTCGTTTTTCATTATTATCTTTTTTTATGGTGTGTTAATAACTCATTTTGCTTCTGGATTTTTCTATCTACACATAATTGTAACACCACATTCGCACAAGCTTTTAGATCACCATTATAATGACTACCTATGTGGCACTATGTCTAGTAGCTCATTACATATATAACTAATATAGTGATTATAGAAGGGCCAGGCTTTATAAGCTTTGCATTTTTAGCGTAACCTATAAATATTTATATCCAAAGTTTAAAATATCATTGCTTTAATGATATAATTAATCTTTTCTTACAAGGTCATTTATTTTTGGTCTTACATGCATATGTTTTCATCCAATTAAAGAGTATGATTTTTAGTTCTTTTTTTTAAATACTAAATAATCAAGGGGGGGGGAATTTACATGCCTTCTACACAATCCTTTCTATTTGCATATTAAACACATAAAGTTGATATCTATATTTATAACAATTTAATGTCATAGGTCTATACATGCACATGTGTATTTCAAATTCAGGGTGCGTTTGTTTCGACTATAGTTGTAGAAAAGTTGGTTTCAGAAGCTGTTGTTGAAAATCTACTGTTCAGAAGCTAGTGTTTTATAAGCAGTTAGTATGTTCGAAAAACACAATTCTGAAAGTTCTGTCTGAATGTCCCTAAGTATATAAACACAACATTGATCCACCCCAGTGATTATCACAATTATATAATTGGTAATAGCTCCAAAAAACTTGACATGTTCACTAGCAACTTAATTGAATTCTTAAAATTAAATATTATTGCACACTTAGGGTTTCCATGCAAGTATATGAAATTTTAAAATACTTGAGTTATGCTATCAATTCTACTGCAATAATCTAAAATTATACTTACAGAATTTCTAATTATGCTATGTGAATTGGTCTTGTTACACTCTTCCGAGCTCTTACAGGTTCACAACATATTTTAACAGATCAATTTCACTAGATTGAAAAGTAAACTAAGTGCAAAAGGAAAATCATCACAGATAAAGAATAAAAACTATTTCAACATGTTATCCACATTCCTACACATCTACTACATCACCACAAGGAAAAGCAAGGAGAATTACTGAGAAAGCATGGATAAAACAACACCAAATTGCATTGAAACAGAGAGATTCAACATGCAAATGAGTTTATGATAACTACAATTTCAAATCACAAATATACTTATCTCTCCCCCTCAATTGGCCTTGAGAATGCTCCACCCAAGTCCTTGCTCTTCTCCTGCAACTCCTGACATAACAGTAAGTACAAATCAACAAAACTCGCTATTTTAGACTTGCATCGAACAAGCCTAGATCACTACAAACACAAGATGGAAAACCTTCTCTAACCCTAGGAAGTCGCACCCTAATTACCAATTGAAGTCTAAATTCCACCGAACCTCTCACATGAACTTCAGGGTCCTCCTTATATTCCTCTCTATTCTCCTCTGAAAGCTGCTCTGAAAAACTGCCCAAAATTCCATGAAGAGGTGGCTCGAGCG